ATGGTTTCTGATTACTTCTGCAATTCTTGATGTTTTCTTGTTGTTGTAGCGTGCTTATCTTGGTAATGGAGGATTGTGTGACACAATCATTCTCTACATGTTTCGAGGATACGAGTCCTCATCATCAGGAAGAATTCGTTAATCTTATAAATATAAATTTCACCATGTTTTATTTCTGCTATTTGTAATTACTGATGGTTTCTGATTACTTCTGCAATTCTTGATGTTTTCTTGTTGTTGTAGCGTGCTTATCTTGGTAATGGAGGATTGTGTGACACAATCATTCTCTACATGTTTCGACGATACGAGTCCTCATCATCAGGAAGAATTCGTTAATCTTATAAATATAAATTTCACCATGTTTTATTTCTGCTATTTGTAATCACTGATGGTTTCCGATTATTTCTGTAATTTTTTGATGTATTCTTGTTGTTGTGGCGTGTTTATCTTGGTAATGGAGGATTGTGATTTAAAAATGTTCGTGAAATACATGATTCAATACATTTATTAGCATTAAATGCGTACCTTGATTAATAAATAATGAAACTGTTTACATAAATATTTTTTATGATATTTTCATAACGGAACATTTGTTGTATCCATTAACAAGATTGTGAAAAGCATTAACATTTTTATTGTAAGCATGAAACTATTTATTGTCAACACGAACATTACATTGTCAATCCGTGTAAACTGTTTATGTTAAACCATTACTGTGGATTCATCTCAACAATAAATCACTTAATGGGTCAATTATGGGTAATTCTTGTAAAACATTTATATTTTCATGGTTTACATGAAATTAATGTATATTACGAATAAAAGTTTTTTGAGTGTATAAAGTTTGTATCAAAAATCTCTTTCCAATAACGTAAAGAAAAACATACCCAGCAATTTGAAAATCAAAAGTTTAAAATTGAAGATGGCGTTGGAAAAAATTTATTTGTAGCATGAATCATAGTATTCATCAAACCATTTCGTTTGATGCCTCGCTCATGAAAATCGGAATGTAAATGACAGAGTTATGCTCTGGCCACGAAAATATCGCCACAAGCGTCAAGTCGCTACAGGTGATATTTGTAGCGTCAAAAGCAAGGCCACAAAATGTTCGCCCGCAGCGTCTACGACGGGCGATGAATCAGTTCCGTTAGAGTGAGTAAGAGTGAGCACGCATCGTCATTAGTCATTACACGTGAAAATGTCGCTGTCAAAAATATCTAAATATTGTTTTGAAAGTAGTTCTTTTTTTTCGTATGATATTATGAATTTGCGACAAGGAGTACACGATTTAAATAGAGAGAGACTGCAATCTGGTGAATTTCATAACATATATATTTCAGGCATTTTCCTAACAAATTTTTTCAGTGCACTAGAATGAGTGTCGATACTTTCGACTACATACTGAACAGTATACAACCATCTTTGAAATCGTCGATCAGCGGTCCACGATTTATTACACCAACAGAAAAACTTCTTTTAACGTTAAGGTAAGTATCCTCTACTACTTAATCATCATTACACTTTAGATGTATTTAATTGAAAGAAGATATTATGTAGTAATCGTTTTATTATCTAATATATTATATTACTTCAAACATAGTATAAACAAAAGAAATTAGTAAATAAGAACTTAATTAATAATTATAATAATAATTAAATAATATTAAATAATAATTATTGTGTGTCCGAACGTGAGGCAAAGTTTTGATATTCAAACATCTCCATTTCCTCAAGTACAGCTTGATTTATTTTGTTTCTTAGACGCATTTTTTGAATGGGTGGTAGCCGTTCCATGTTTGGTAACACGCTCATTAAAAAATGGTAATCTTCTGATTGTTGTTAGTGTACATTAGTGTTATTCAATCGAGAAACTTCCAACTCCATAATTCGTAATTATTTTTTTCGATTTCTAGATATTCCGCTCTCATGTCGGCACGAGTTTGGCGTTTCCTACTTGGTGCTGAGTTTATTGTTGATGTCGATGTTGTAGGTGAAGGCAGCGGTGTTTGTGCCAAATCTGGAGTTAGAATGTTGTCATCTTCTTCATTTGTATTAATAGATAATAGGTTGTGTTCATCAGAAATTAGAGTTTCTACATGGTCATTATCAACATCTTGAAACGAATGTTTCGAACGAATATTTTCTTGGACTACCACGTTGCTGTCACCAGCCGTTGGCATAACTTCGTCTTTTACGAATGACATTAGTTGGAAATATTTTCACTTAACCTCTACATCCGTTATGGCAGCATCGCCTGATCATGGAACTGGTATTTTTTTGATTTCTTTTCTATATGTGTCCTTCAGACTTTTCCATTTTTTCTTCGCATCTGCAAAAAATCACAAAAAAATAATAAAGTGTAATAGATTTTATTTTAAACTATATGTATTATAATTATGTATTTAATTTCTTCATGCAATATTATGTTTTGTATGTATGTGCTGTATGAGTGTGTATGTATATATGGGTGTGTATAGTATGTGCATCTGTGTATGTTAACATTTGCAGCCTAATTGCCTTAACCTAATAATTTAGTTTTGCATTTCAGGTTTCTTTCAACCGGATTACCATTTAAGTCCTTAAGATATTCCTTTAAGCTGGGGAAAAGTACAGTAGCAAATTGTATTTATCAAACTTGTAGAGCAATATGGCAAGCACTATTGAATGCCCATATGCCACAACCATCAGAGGAATATTTAATGAACATATCAAGAGATTTTTTTTAAGATAGCAAGCACTTTCGTATTAAAAAGCCACCAAAAAGTGGAAGTGAATACTTTAATTATAAGCACTTTTTTTCTATAGTGCTTCAAGGCGTAGCTGATGCAGATTATAAGTTTATCAATATTGAGGTCGGAGGTAAAGGAATACAAAGCGATGGGGGAACATTCTTTTTTTCAAAACTCAATAAGTTAATTACTACTAATAGGTTTAATATGCCTCCACCGTAAACTCTCCCGGGATCGAATATAACATTACCTTGTGTATTAGTTGGGGATGAAGCCTATCCATTAAAAAATTTCTTAATACGACCTTATCCGTCAAATGGTTTAGATGACGAAAAGAGAGATTTTAATAAAAGATTATCCAGGGCAAGAGTCACTAGAAAATGCCTATGGAATATTAACTAACAAATGGAGACTTTTCCTTAAACCAATT